AGCATTACTCGCTTATCTAATCAGCTCTTTCTGAGGTTGTTAATCCTAAAACAAATTGCTGCAGCAATTTAGAACATGGTTCTCTCATTTACAGGGCATTGAACTGGAAACCAATGAGATTTTTTTAAGCTATCTTAACTCAAGTCAGAAGAAAGATTTTGGTTTGAATTATTGTTTTTACTTTAACTTAATTTTACTTCTGACAGAAATAAAACGTAATGTTTTTCGATGCTCCAGTAGCACTCCCAACATGGATCTAATAGAGAATCTTTGGCAGGGGCTAAAGATAAGGGAGGCTATCAACCTTCAAAGATCATAAAATACCAGTTGGAACATAGATAAAGCTGGGTGTGATCGTTGGACTGTTAAAATTGTAATGAAATACTTGTTGTTATGTAAACTTATTGTTTGTAAATTACCACAATATGTGGATTTTTTAAAATATATTTTGGTTTCATTAAAATGTCAAAGTGATCAGTGATACAGAGCATTTTATATGACGTATTGGTAATATTTAAACAAAGCTAGCCATTGATGTAGTTCATTACTTTTTAATAATACTACACTGAAAACATTTTTATATTGGCCGATCCTACCATTTGTATAGTAATCTTTTTGGAACTGGCTCAACGGGAAAATGTTAATTGGGGTTAATTGAACACAGGAAAAAGTTAAGTACCTCAAATAACATTTTCCTGATGAGCCAATTATAATATTCACATGTAAAAGATTACTATACAAATGTAAGGTTAAGCCAATGTTTACATTTTTCATTGTATAAAATATTTTAATATGTTATTAATAAATCTCACTTTCTTATGCCTATTTGTTTTTTTCAGCCCTCTGACATTCAACATGGTTTCAAACTCCAGTGTCTCTGAGGAGCCCTTCTGCCCACTGCTCCAACTGATGAGAGAAGACAACTCCAACAACAACACACGGGTCAATCTGGTTGTTGTTTGCATCCATGGCATTTTCTCCTGCCTGGGGATTTTAGAAAATGCCCTGATCATTTGGGTTTTGGGTTTTCGCCTCAGGCGTCGGACCGTGGCCTCCGTCTGGATGCTCAACCTGGCCATGTCTGATTTCCTGGCCACCCTGACTCTCCCACTCTTCACCTTCTACCTTAACTCCCGCCACAGCTGGGAGATTGGACTTCCACTCTGTATAGCGCAATCTTCCATCTTTTTCCTCAACATGTTTGTTTCAGCCTTTTTGCTGGCAGCCATTTCTCTGGACCGCCTGCTCCTTGTGGCCAAGCCAGTGTGGAGTCAGAATCACAGGTCGGTGGCAGGAGCTTGGAAGGTGTGTGCATTGGGCTGGCTGTGGGCAGCATTAAATACTCTGCCTTACTCTGTGTTTCGTTCAGTGATTCCGAAGACTGATGGGAGAAATTTATGCTATCATAATTTTGCTTTGTTTTTATCCACTGAAGACTCATTGGAGACAGACTGCAAAGTGAGGCAGGAGACAACAGCTATTTCCAAGTTACTGTTAGCATTCCTGCTCCCTCTAGTGGTGATTGTAGGGAGCTACATCAAGATAGCACTCAGGCTCAGAAGCAGAGAAAGGAGACGAAAGCAAAGTACCTGCAGACTGACTGATACAGTGACTTTGCCAGCCTGCGATGGACATCCACAAATGTTTAAAACCAACGGCATCAAACCTTTGAACACTGGTTTAACATTTAAGTCAAATGTAAACAGCTTGTCCCCTGTCATCCCCAGTCCATCATTTCAGAGCCAGCTTTCTCCGAGTTTTACAAAAATGGTAACGTCTGTGATTGCAGTGTTTGGACTGTGCTGGGCTCCATATCACATCTTTTGTATCTTAGAACTGAAAGCCCAGGAAAACATGAAAATTCTCAAACTGGTTGAAGTTGGCCTTCCCCTGACAGCAACGTTAGCATTTTTGAATCCAGTTTTGAACCCTGTTCTGTATGTCTTCAGCTGCCCCCACTTTTGTGTGAGAATAAGACAGAGTCTGGGGGCGGTGTTTGATGGACTTGTGGAGGAGGGAGGGGGGTTACTGATGGCTCCAGCCAAGAGCTTGCGAGCTCACATCAGGAGGAGGAGTAGTCGAGATGTTAGCTTTGCAACACCGGGGTCACCAAAGTCTTCAACTCCTTCCAGTCACTCTCCCAGCGCCCAGCCGTTCCTGCCATTAAATCTGCTGTCTCAAGGCCTTAGAGACAGGCAAACAGAACAAGAGTTGAAAAACGGTGCATCACAGGGTTCTTTCTAAATTGTATTTAATTATGTGCATAATCCCATGACTCTCATTAAGGCTGAATTCTGTTTTGCCCATTGGCTTTTGTATTTACCTCTCAAGTAGGTGTACGTTCTCTTAGAGGTATAGTGTAGGATGTTCTTTTTCCAGGTAGATCATCAAAATAAGTGGTTCTTCTAATTGTCAATTATTATAGTGCTATGTTTACGTAAGGCCGTCCTATGTGTTCGTCGCCATTTTCACTTACCGGTGGCGAGTCTGACATAGTGAAAAATTGCAAATCTTCTTTTGGAGAGTAAGCCTTTATTAGCGATGCAAACAGCGACTTTTAAACACAGCGTGCACAAGGAGAAATGGGCCTGTCCATGCTCTCACATATGTTTAATAGGCGTTCCTTCTTGGGAGCAGGTGTAGAGTTATGCATGTGCATTTGTTTTTAATTGGAGAGGGTAATTCTTTTCAAAAATTCCCGAAGATCCTCCACTATAGCTTTAATGAGAAGAGCATCCAAATTATTTCTAAATTAAAAAATAAATCATTCAGCCTTTAAAAGCAAGACCTTTTTAGGGATTCTGTACAACTTTTTTTTTTTTCTTTTCTTGGTTGACGTGTTTTAGTTGTTTCATAATGGCCATCAGATCCTCTGGAGATGATTTCACAGACAGAATTCCTCATAAAATGAAGAAAATGAAGAGCATCGTGGACAATGGGGTGTCTTCGGTGAAACAGTTTTCCATATCTGGTGCAAGACACACTTTGACAGATCTTCCTTGGCTAGAAATATCAACATATATAAGAACTCCTTGAAGAAAGGCTGAGTTACTTTAATATGTAATTTTCCTTCACGATTAATAAAGTATTTTCTAATTTAAATCAATTTAATTGCATTGTCTAGTTGTCCTTTTCGTAAAGTAAGCATAAAGAATAACATTTCAATTTGAAATGTTTTAAAATCTTTAGCCGTTATCCTCTTATAACTGTTATCCTATTGCAATATAGGAAAGCCTTTTTGTATGTGTATGTTCTCCTGAATAAAGAAAGGCCTTTAATTTGATTTAGGAAAAAATAGTAAGCTATAATAATTATAACTTCAGCTGCTGGGTTTGTTAAAGTGCTTCAAATGTGATAATGGGTTTTTATTCAAGTTGCATCAATTGGCATTAGTGGTATATCCACACCACCTGCATTGCATGATATTTGACGTGATTTTGTGACTGCTGTCTTCTTGTTAAGATGTGTTGATTGAAGCATTCAATTTGATTTATCAGAAACCAATCTCAGTTCTTAAAACTGCTCAAAAGACTAATTTAATGTACGCTGCTGGATCTTCTTTTCAGCAATTATCGATACTAGAACTGTTAAAGTGGTCTTTCAAACCCAACTAAGTATTATCTGTCTAAAACTTACCGTAAAGCAAGATGAAGCGATGGTAAGTGAAAGTATACTACAGAAAGTGTCAAGTCATCTTGTTGATATTTTTATTTGATATATATTTTTCTACCACTTTGTTGTACTTTCTTCTCTATGTTTCTATATAATGAATAATAAACCACAGCCCAAAAACAAATAATTTTATGAGTATGTGATAATTACTGAAAAAGCCTACATAGAAAAAAAAAACATTCTACTTCGTTTTAGGTCAACAACTGGATATTTGTCCGTTTGAATTCAGCATGTAATGCCTCCTGAAAAAAAAAAACTTAATGTAAGTAGATTAAACTGGGATTAAGCAGTTTAATCTGTCTACATTGTTCAAGTTTCCACCACAAACTTCAATGATTTTCCTAAAAACAGATATGAGAGTTCAGATCTAACACTCAAACACATAATGTGGATTCATATTAGAGCGCTAAAGGGAAACTGATAAGTAAAGGTATTTGACGTTTGATCAATTAAGTCGCTATTTTTTCCGCTTTTTGACACAGCTTTTCCTTGTTAAATTTGACCTGTGAGTGCTGCGGTTATTTAGCTAATTTTGAAAGGCTTGGGGTCCAAGGGGTGTGACTGTTCGCAGAGTTTTCATGGGTTTGAATTTAGGTGGGGCCAAAACTGACAAAACCACAATTTCCAAATCATGACAAGGACAACACTGGGAAGCAGTTATTTTAATCTTATTTTTTTTCTTTTTAAATTTTAATAGCAGTGTTGATTTACTGCAGTGCAACAGCTGGAAAAAGATAGTCAGGGGAATAGTTAGAGGGGTGCTGAAAGATAAGGGGTGCCCAGGAAGAATGGTTTAGGAACCACTGCCTTAAGAATTAGTTCTCAGATTTCAACATTTTAACAAGTTTACAAAACATAATGATCTTGACATTAGATTTTTCAGGGGTGTATATCTTTAATGATATAATCTACAGGGATATACAGTCAGAAATGTAATATATTATACATAACTATGTCATTTATCATCATCTAAAGTGTTTGGTGTGTCTTTGAAACTTGAATTGATCATTTACTACCCATGAAGTGAAATGCTGTGTAAATTACAGGGCTGATGCATTTAAAGCTACAGTGTGTAATTTTGGGAACCACTGCTTTAAGAGGTTGATGATTAATCTTAAACTTGCTTAAAGGGGCCCTAAAAATTAATTCCTCTATAAAGCAGGGTCAAAGAACTTTAAAAAAAAACTTTACAAATATTTTATTAATTTAGTGTAGTGTTAATCTTTAGTGCGAATTTAGTTTGTTATTGAGTAGGTAGGATGCTGTTTCAGGATCAACAAGAATGGTGAATGTAAAACAGACATAACAATGAATTGGAGACACACAGCTTTAAGTTAATACAGCAGTTTTTAATCAAATTAAAAAGCATGGCACATAAACTGCCACGTGTTTATGTCCATATATTCCCAAATCAGATACCATTTTGAGAATCTGCAAACTTCTTCAAAACCTTACTACAAAAACAGATACCAAAAAGCAAAGCCACACAGGCATTGATAGAGTTGTTGCAGGAAAACCAGCTGAACGAATAATTGAGTGGTAGCATGTGCCCACATTGCCAACCTCATCCACAGCAACAATCTCTACGATCTGTGAACAGCATGAGGCGTTGTAGTACGCATTGACAACGGAAGCATCAAGAGTAGTATGGGTAAAGGTCCCATTCCCTTGATTCAAGGAAACACTCTTTATCCCAGAGCCGTTTCCATCAGTGAGATTGGCTGAGAGCTCCCATCGGAAAGGTCCACACTGCAAGACATCTTTCGGGCAATTATCTGCCAACACACTCATCTCACACTTTGGTGGAATAAAATCTGTGATCTGGGCAAAAATACAGAATAATATGATTACAATCCGTCATTTTACTTTTGCTTTTATTAATTAGATTGTTAATTTTATTTTTTATTTATTTTCAAAAAAGATAAAACAAATGCTATGTTCAGATGAGCCAATAACACTTTAATTGATGGTAGGTGTTAATTAAAAGAGACTAGCATTAAATGAAAAGTTCCTCAACAAAGTTTCGTATGTATACTTTAACCACCAATCAAGCCTTTTCATTTGTAATCTTTTTCATTTTTGTATTTCAATTAAATTGTGTTTGATAAACACCACATAAGCTTTACAAAAGAATTGGGAATAGAGTTTTTCAACTTCACAAACATCTAATCAGCATTGCAAATATAAATCAGAATAAAAACCTGTTTGATGTTCTTTCATACAGATTATAATGAGTGTATTATTTTACCTTAGTAATAACAGACAACCTCAGAACAGCATAATTGGAGTCAACACCACTCTCAGACTTGGCTTCAATAGTCAGAGTGACATCAGTGCCTGACTCTGTGGCGGAAGATGGTGTAATAGTCAGTGTAGAGTTAACATACTGGCCAGTGGACAAGCTGAGGCTGTTGAGAGATGAGAAAAAAATTGGGGGAGATGAGAAAACTTTAAAAATGTCAGCCTTGTGGTTAGAGCAGTGTGCTTGTGCTCTGAGAAGGTTGCAAGTACAGGTTCGATCCCCACAGCCTGCACTCTGGTTCCCTGAGTAAGACTATTGAAGTGAAATTTTCCATTGTAAGATTAATAATGTTCAATTATATATTCACCTTTTTCAACAAGTTACTTGCCAATTTTTCCGTAGCACTCTCCAGCCTTGTGGAAGTGTACAATTTTGCCTCTTCTGTCTTTGGACAGCTCTTTGGTCTTGGCCTTGTTCATAGTTGGATTCTTACAGATTGCATTGGGTGGACAGGTGTCTTTATGCAACTAACAACCTCAAACAGGTGCATCTAATTAAGGATAATAAATGAAGTGAAGGTGGACATCTTGAAGGCAATCTAACCGGTCTTTGATAGAAAGGGGGTTCACATACGTATTTGCAGCTGTATTACACAAATAAACATAAAAAAAATCAGATATTCATATATTGTGTTTTCTGGATTTTTGTTTTCTCTCACAATGGACATGCACCTACAAGGACAATTTCAGACCCTCCATGATTTTGAGATAGGGGAAATAGCAAAATAGCAGGGTTTTCAAGTATTTATTTTCCTCACTGTAAATATTTTACATAGATGCCACCTTAAACCTAATGTTTAAGTATTCTACAACAGCATTTGACAATAAACTATAATAGTTTTTACCAACCTGTTTGGGTAGGTCATTGGAAAGTCTCTGTCATTCCGGGCGTTGATGGTGTATTTACCCCCAGCACCCATGCTCATTATACTGAAGGGAAGTTTAAAGGCTTCTCCTGGCTCAGCACTGCTGTCCACTGCAGCCTTGAAAAAGCAAGATGGGGAAAGGGCAAGGATGACCATTTTTATTGTTTTACACCTGTACATTTTTCAAAGTTTGTATGACACTATGTAAACAATGAAACATTCTTTCAGTTTTAAAAAACTGGCATTTTGGTGGTCCTATGTAAACTCTTTTTTTAAAGACATGGAAATATCCTCAGAAACCCCTGGGATTACCCTTCTGGGCCCTGAGCATAACTGCTTTAAAGCATTTCAACAGAACTTCCACTTAGGTTAAAGTTAAATAAATAGAGGGCGATATTTTATTTTCAGGGTGAATCATCAAAATAAGTTTTCCTCCTAATTGTAAATCATTCTGGTGATATATTAATGTGCACGTCCCGACAGCTATATTTTTCCGGCATACACACTTATCTGTGGTGAGCTATGGTTTCAGCCAGTCATTTAAGCTCACCTTTCTCACTGCGATTCTTTAAAAATGGCTGAGGGTCGAAAGAGAAAATGTGGCTCTGTTCGAAAACCTAGGACGGGTCCTCCAAGGACGAGGTCTACCTAGACTGGATCCTTCGAAGTCCTTGAAAATAAGGAGACCGGAAGAGTTTTGGCTGTAAATTCGACCAGGTCTACCCTTTGGCGGGTTTTACCGCCGTATGCTCTGTTGCTTAGCAACCGTGAACGTTGACACACAAAGCAGGAAAAGAATGAATACAGAAGTTTTCAAAACTGTTTATTTATTTATTTTTTATTGTGAGGTGAACAAAGACTACACTCACAAGAATCCAGAGTGGAATAAATGTTCCAACAGCCGGGAGCAGGAACAAATAAAATCAAATGTAATGATAGAAACCTTAGTCAGTTAAATAACCTGCTGCTGTCATTCTGCACATCTCTGATGTTGCTGCTATTTTCGAATATCCATTACTGTAAAAATGTCCATAGCTGCATATTGGTTATTAATTCTCCAGTTTTATATTGTTAAAACACTTTACAGTATTTTATTGTTTATATTTTAACTCTTCCCTATTATGTTATTCTTATACATTTTTCTAAGGTCCACATTTGTGTGACCACTTTCAATAATCTTTCTGCTGCTGTAAATTTTCCCATTGTGGGAAAATAAAGGGATTTTCTATTCTATTCTATAAAAGGGGTAGAAAGATATAAGTAAATCTAAACAATATATTTACAAAAAATATATTGCAAAATCTCTAATATTCAACAACAAAAAATACAAAGTTAAGCATATTGTGCAAAATAGCAATAAAAAGATAAAAGTACTATCAGATCTATAGTCCCCACCCTGCAAATATATTAGTATCTGTCCTTAAATTACAGCCAAACCCATTTACACAGTAACAGATTAAAACCTTTAGATAAACCAAACATTACCGCCACATATATGACTCAGTAACCATTAAAACAACTATTTTCATTCATTTCAGACGGAACTATTCACAGAGTTGTATTATATTAAACTGAACTTCCAATTTTCACCACTGTTCGGCGCCAAGTAACCTTTCCTCTGATCACAGCTTGCTTGGTCTCGCAATGAATCCTGGGATATCCAAGAATACTGAGGATACATCGGACCCGTCCTTCAAATCGAGCAAAAAGAAGGACGCATTTTAAGGCCGCATAACGAGGACTCTTGGAATCCGACCAGACCTCGGCGCCGCGCTATGACGTAATCGGCCTTCGAATCCGGTCTTCTAAGGATCCGTCCTAGGTTTTCGAACAGAGCCTGTGTCTACTAAGTGTATGAGAAGAAAAGAAAGGGCTCAGAAGAGGCAAATATTTCCCAGAATGCTTTGCGCAGGGAGCTCTCCACGCAAAGCATTATGGGATTTGTTGTTGCTACCCGACAGAGGCAACTGATAACAACGCAGTGAAGGAGCAGTTAGTTGAGCAACGGAGCAAAAACTAGTGATCATCTGTATGAACGGTCAGTTAACTGAGTTTGCTATATAGTCCACCATATATTTCCCACTCTATGTGGTGATTGAGGGATTTAGCGGTTAGAGCAGATCCAGAATCTGGATTTAAATTTTCTCTTTATTTATGTCATTATTAAAACAGGTGTAGTTAGAGGATATAAAGAGATACTACATGGACAGACCTGGATTATGACTTTGGAGACAGACATCTGGGTGGTTGACTGTCTCTGAAATTTAGTGTTGGACAATTTGTCTGTTCCTTTCAGAAAGAGCACAAACTCCCCCTCAGGAACAGCATCAACTGTGACCAGGAAGTCTCCATTGCCCATGTCCGTCATTGCACCATTGGTTACTGCCTCTGAACTGGACAATGTTATTAAGCCAGCCTCTTCAACAGTGATTGATGAGGGACCTTTTCTTCCTATTACTGATAGCATCAGAGTGGCAGGTTGGCCTATTTTTTGTATTGAAAAGAAAGTTGTTTTAGTCTTGTTTTTCAACTGTGCATGTATTTACAAATGTATTTCATAAAAAACCATTGTGAAATATTGTGCAATATAGAAATATGGTGGTAAAACTGTACTGTATACCTTCTTGCGGTCGCCCACTGAGTACTGCGTAGCCTGAGTGAGGTCCAGTGAACTTTTCCACAAAGTCATAGACAAAGGTAATTGTGCTCTGGCCTGAATTAAACAACCAAACCATTAAGAACACACCAACAACATATGTGCCCCCGCTGCAAACACTGCAGCATACACATACATACTCTACCTAAATGCATTTTCTGAAGAGCAACTATCTACATGCATGTTTCAGACTAGAGGAAGTCATAGTAACCAAGAACATGCAAAGTCCATATTGATAGGTCCTGGGTGGGATTCTAACAGTGTTTGAAACACAGGTGGAACAGGTAAATGAGGAACATAACTGTTCTCTCAAATCTACTAAAAGTACATAATTCTATGTCAATCTGAGACCCACATTGCCCTACTAGAAAATATCTGACCTGTGACTTTGAGTGTGTATGGCTGACTGGATTTGATTTCAATCTTCCAGGTTCCTGACTGTGTGTCAGCATTTAGACGGATTCTCCACAGGTTTCCCACAGTCTGGATGGTTCCCAGTTTACCACTAGTTTCACTGTTACTCTGGGTAGCCCCTGTAAATATAGATATTGCATCATTAGAAAGCATTATTACTCACAGAGAAAATCAGGAATTCTTTCAATATTATCTGCAATTCTATTTAAAATTGTATGTTACCAGCAGGATTAGTCAGTGTAAAAGTTAGGGATGTTCCTGTGATATAGATAGTTATGTTTTTCAGGGATTGATCCAGCAAATAGGGGAACGTTTCTTGCCCCCCAGCAATCCTAGCTCTTTGAAGAACTGTTACCTGATGGAAATTTAGATTAATCATCTCATAGATTCCTCAAACCACATCTTTCACCTGCAGTCTAATGCATGTAAGTGCTCTTACCAGGGCAGAAGTTGAAGTGTCAAGAACAATATCTGTAGCCTGAGGGAGTTCTGACTTAGACACCCTGATTGCCTGGCCTCCAGATGCCAAAGCCAAGTCCTTATAGTCTTCAAAGGAAGCAGCTGCTAAAGAACGTCGCTTCCTGCTTCCTGTCGCAGTCATAAAGAATGAAACCTAAGAAAGAGTTCATGCAGATACGTGAAACTAGAACCTCAACTTCCCTAATTTATAAAGACTTTTTATGCTTTGGTCACAGCTTTTCTATGTTTACCACAGATTTGGTGCTTCTCATGAGAGCAACAATTGTGTCTTTGAGAGCAATGTCTTTGGCTATTGCATCAGTGAAAACATAGATGTTAGATGAGGAAGGAGCTCCTGTGAGGGCCAGCTACAAAGCAAAAAATCTAATGTTAGGATTCACAGTGCCGTTATCATCAATATTTCCAGTTGAAATTAAAATGGTCATAATTAGTTACTGTACCTGCAGTCCAGACAGACACATCTCTGGGGTATCTCCACCACCTTGTGCTCTGAGCTTTGAGATTTCTGTTTTCATTTTATTAGGATCAGTTGTCCTTATCATTGGTCCAAAATCTAAACATATATGGAAAATTGAGATAAACATAAAGAATAACCAATAATCTATTTGATTAAACTCTAAATATAGTAATATATATAACGGCTTTTACCTGGGTCATTAAAGGGCACGAGTATGTATTCAGATGGTTCATCCTGTGTTCCCTTTTTGCTGTCAATGAGGTCATAAACAACTGACCTAGCTTCTTCAATGTCATCTGACATACTGCCAGTGGTGTCAATAACAAAGCACACTACTGATGAGCGAGCGATTCCCATCATTCTATGAGAAAACACAAGCAATAATGTTTTTAATTGAAGAATGTACCTCATGGCAGTTATGTGCAATAATCAGGTATTATGGCCATCTTTTGCTGCCAAAACAACTTTAAATAGCTAAGGTACGAACTCATCAAGAAGTCTAAAAGGAAAACTTTGATATTAGACTCTAAGATGTTAATAGCCAACCCTTTGAGTCTCTTAAGTTGCATGCTGAATGGCCAGACTCAGAAATTTTTGATTGCCTTAAAATGAGGTAAACAGGAAGTCAAAATTCCAGCTACTTCATGCCTAACCCTGGAATTTACCATAACTATTTCCAGTATATTCCCAACCCTATGTCATAAACTTGAAACTTTGGACCCAATATTTAAAGCAGACAGATCTGGATTAGTTCAAACAAGTTCTTTATTCGTCATCTGGTCCTAAATAGCCTATTTAGGACCTTGTTTGGTACGTCATGTTTGTTTACCTTTTTAAAATTATTATTTTCTTTATTTAAAATGGGTAACAAGTTACACATCTATGGAGTTCTCAGTATGACAGGTCATGGTCAAGTTTGAAAAGTTCAGTTTAGGCAACTGGATGCAAACTTTTAGAAGACTTCATGTCCGGTTACCTAAACTCGTCTTTTCAAGCAAGTTACACTTACCGACAAATATACAAATGTTGTGTTACCATCTTTTATGAGGCCTTTTCATTAACTTCCATTCATTTGTATGGCATAACGCAGACTTGAACCATTACCAAGATATCTTTAACCATGAACTAAACTTGATTGCCACCTTACATCTAAACCTAGTTCCAAACCCAAGGGAAGAAATTTTCCTCATAGAGACCAGTTGATTGGTTCTCACAAGTACTTTTAAGTCTGTATATTTATCAATATAAAGACACACGCACACGTCATGTCACACTATGCGTGTGGGGACATTCCATTAACTTCCAATCATTTCCGCCTCATTTCTATGGCCTAACCCAGAACCTTCCCCTAACCCTAACCATTACCAACACTTACCTAACCCAAAATCTAACCTGACCTCAATTCACACCTTCGTCCTTAACCTACACCCAACCTTAAGAAGACCACCTTTCCTCATGGGGAGCAGTCGTTGGTCCCTACAAGTACTTGTAAGTCCCATAAATGCAGCATATATTCCAAAATCGTCCCCACAATATGACAAAAACATGGCAACATTTTTTTTCGAAAACTTGTTGTTGTACCTTAAAAAGTCATGATCGCCTGATCTAACAGCTATATATATATATATATATATATATATGTATATATATGTATATATATATATATATATATATATATATATATGTATATATATGTATATATATATGTATATATATATGTATGTATATATATGTATATATATATGTATGTATATATATGTATATATATATATATGTATATATATGTATATATATATATGTATATATATATATATATATATATACTTGTTTGAGGTTTTTGTACACATTCCTTTTGTATACCGGTATTTGAAGTTATCAGAGGTATGCTATCTTTAATTGTCCCTTTTGTGTTTTTTTTTTTTAGTTTTATTTTCCTGTCTCACCTGTAACGTATGCAGGACTCTCCCCAATGTTTCCCTGGCAGCCTTGAAATTCTCCTTGCCAATGTTAGCCTTAATGGCAACCATGCCCTCAGTAATTAGTCCACGTCCCTCTAAGAAAGCCTCAGAGTTGAAGTGATGTGGAGCACTAGAATTTGCAGAAAAATGCAACTCAAAATATTGTATGTAATGGTTAAATCTTTATTTTTATCCCACTCTTTTATAGACGTTTTCCACTTTACCTGTTTACAAAGTCTCGGTCGACAAGACCATTCTGGGTGTAGATCTCTTGCAGAGCCGATTGGAATTTAGCACCAGAAACATCTCCAGGTGCCGTGGGACCCAGACAGGCTTGGACCAACTCCCCTGGAGAAGAACCCTGAAGTTCATAACAGGAAGAAAAAACAGAAATATTTTAGAGACTGAATGAAAACAACACAACGAGCCAGATGAATAAAATCTAGTGTTTAGGAGGTGCTTGCATTTTCTTTCCTTTTCCATTCCAAACATTTGCTAGGGTTTGTAATTTTATATTGAACTTTTAGGGCAGAAAAAAGAACAGTCTGTTACAGGATATATCTCCCCAACTATGTGTTTATACTACAATCAGTCATGATAAGAATTTGATTTTCCTTTATTAGCAAATGTAAGGTGTGTGTATATCTTATTTATATTTCTTTATTTCAGTTTGTTGCAACTAACATTAACATGCATATTTGCATATTCTATAAGGGCATTGACCTTTGAAGCACATTACTGCTGGTCTAGATTACAAATGAATCACCATTAATTCAGGATATCAAGATAATTCAGGTGTCATGATCTCGGCGCTGATGGTTTGGTTTTTTCCTTTGCTCCTTGCTTTCCTGTCTAATTGGTTCTGCGGCTGATTATCGCCGATCATTTCCACCTGGTTCCTCTACTATTTAAGTTGTGTGTTTGCCTCCCATCAGCGCCGGGTTATTCTTGTGTTTTTGAGATACGTTCCCCAGCAATCTGTAGTCTGCCTGTTTCCCTGATAGTGACCAGTTTCTGCCCTGAGGATTTAGAGTTTTTTGCCTTGCCCCTGTCTGCTCTGTTTGTCCTGTCTGATCCTGGAACTGTCGTCTTACTTCGGCCTTGGATTTCCCTTCTGGACTCTGTTGCTGCTCGGCGTCTGCTGCTCGCTCTCTAGGAACTCTGGGGGCGTCTCCCGCCGCACCTGCGGTCAAACCTCAGCAAACGGACTGAACTTTGAATCAGGTCAGTGACTTTGCTCCAAGTCGTGTTAAGCTCCATATCCAGTCACTGATCTGTATTCTCCCATTTCTGCAGAGAGCCGCCCCGCAGCAGACGAGCAGCCCCGCGCACCTGTTTTTGCTAAATAAACGCTTTGAACTTTCCCACTGCCTGTCTCGCCTCGAATTCTGGGTCCTACATTCTGAGAACATTACATCAGGTGAATGATACATAGAACTGAGTAGATCAAATGTTAATATTTGATCTGTAAGTGTGTAGGTGGAGTGAGGATGTGTGTGGGTCTCTATTACTTTCAAAATTGCAAGCTATAAAATTGAAGAAGGCTGACCTACATAACTTATCACCCATCCTACCGTAGGTTTGAACTCATGACCAGCGGCCTCAGCCACCGCCTTGCACGTCTCTGTAATCTTCTGTAGCAGGGCAGTCCCAGTAATGCTGACATGAGTGGATACCCCTCCTCCAATGGGAAAAAAGGCCATAGCGGGGGCAGACAGAGTCAAAGCCAGCAAGGTTACACCCAGCAATGAAACCATAATGACTGGAATGAGATAGATAACAAAATTCTAATTGTTATCTATAATTCAAAATAAAACGTTAGTGTACAGTATGTTTTGCATCCAGAGGAAGTAAAATGTTCTGGAGGAGTTCATATAACAGTTAAATTTAAATATGCAGAAGATTGGGACAGGAAAAACAAATATGAAAATAGATGTATATACATAAATACTAAATAGTTCATGGTTCATGTTATACAACATTATGAGCATAAGAAACAAAGGACAGACACACAACCTTTGTAATAAATAAAAAAAAAAAAATCAACATTGCATTGCTGTTTCTGCTTAAAGCTCACACAAATGTGGTCCTTTACCAATTTTATCCTGTATTACTGTCGCAAATATCCTGCTAAACATTGCTTTGAATAAAATGATAAACAAAATGCTGCCTTTCCAAAGTAATTATACAGTTTTGAAAATGCAGAGATTATTATCCATGCACTTGTGCCTTTGCATATTGATAATTGTGATGCTCTTCTGTCTGGGCTGCTCGCATCTTAACCAAAACTGTGAAAAATGAGCATAACACTCAAGTACCCTTCACTGGTTGCCTTGTCATGTTCAAGCTGATTTTAGGATCTTGCTGCTCAACTACAAGGCATTAAATGCTCTGGCATTGTCTTATCCATCCAACCTTTTAAAAAAAAAAACAGTATTTTTTTTTTTTACATTTTTTCCCTTACCTACAGTATCATTTAGCACTTTGTTTTAACGTGATATAATGAAGTCAGTGTTATTCTTATTTTTAAACACATATGAGAACCCCCCCAAAAAACAAAAACTAAACCTTTTTATAACACAGGAATTATTTCCTTTCATCTAAATAGTTAAGATGAGTAATGAATCTTAAACACAGTTTACTGCCTGTTCGACAAATAACTTTTGAGTACAAATAGAGTTTTAAATTGTTTTATAAAAAATACTTTCTTATTACTGTAATTGAAAGGAAAAAAGTAGTTAGTCAAAAGAACTGTAACAATAAAAATGTTGCTCATACCTGGATAATTTCCAACAACAAGAACTCAAGTTTCCCCCCTAACTCTAAGGAGTAAAGCACAGATCCACTTTCTACAGCTTTATATATTCAGTGCCTTGTTATAACGGGGTGGAGTGTCGCACACACCTTAACAAATGCAGTTAGATTTTAGTGGAGGTTTTTCTACTAAAAAGATTAGATTACCACAAAATATCTGTCACACCTTTAGAAAAAAAAGCAGTTTATTGTAACATAAATACAGATTGCAACATTTTTTTACCTGTAGATAAAATCGCTCTGCTGTAAATAAAAGCTTCTTTATTGCACAAGCTTAAACATAGGGCGTGTTGTTGACACGTTTCAAGGACATTAGAAGGCTGAATCATTGGTGCATTTTTTACTTCTTATTCTTTGAGTCGTTTAAGTAGAAGGAAGGAAGGAAGGAAGGAAGGAAGGAAGGAAGGAAGGAAGGAAGGAAGGAAGGAAGGAAGGAAGGAAGGAAGGAAGGAAGGAAGGAAGGAAGGAAGGAAGGAAGGAAGGAAGGAAGGAAGGAAGGAAGGAAGGAAGGAAGGAAGGAAGGAGTTATTTTTTAATCTCATCTAATTACAAAAATCAAGATAACATTAACTGTTTCATAAAAAATTCTAGTAAAAGTAGTTCTTCCTTGCCCTGGCTTTGCATACTAAAGAGAGATTATTTAAGCCTGTTTATTGGTTGTCATGACACGGCTGACTGGGAATTTACACAGGCATTTTTATGAGAATTATTACAAGGAAACTGGGGTTTTCTGCACTCTAAGCTCTTTGTCCAAAGTGCACTGTAGAAAAGGAAATAAGTACGTCAAGGGGTTGTGCCATGCAGATAAGAGATTGACAGTAAAATGCGATTGTTCATCAATAAGCATAGATGACGCCAATTGGCTGACAGGACTTAAGTATGCTTTAAATGTATACTGAGATGTTAGCTGTTTTATAGCCACCTAAACCCTCTCCATTAAAAAAAAAAAAATTAAGTTCTACAACTAATTGGCTTTATTGTTCTTTTATTATAAACAAAAAAAAACTAAATCTACATAATTATATAGCAACTTACTTATTTACTTATGTCCTAAATGGTGCAGATTAGTATGCAGTATTTTCATTCATATCATTTTATTTAGATACTTAATTTATTAATAATATCACCTGTCTTATATCTCGTAAATTGAACTTGGCATTGTCTTATCCTTCCAACCTTTTAAAAAACAAAACAGTAATTTTTACCTACCTTACCTACCATTTAGCACTTTGTTTTAAAGTGATATAATAAAGTCAGTGTTATTCTTATTTTTAAACACATATGAGAACCTCAAAAAACAAAAACAAAACCTTTTTACAATACAGGAATTATTTAATTTCATCTAAAGAGTTAAGAAGAGTAATGAATCTTAAACACCGTTTCAGATTCTGGATTGATTTCAGGAAGTGATTCAGATCAATCCTGAAGGATAGCCTGTCGCGCAGCAGGTTTGTTGTTCAGGCCATGGTAACTAGCCTCAATAAGAATGAATCCAGCTTTGTGGTACTAGAAGTCAGGGTTAAACCTAAGGCAGTGTTTTTCAACCCTGGTCTTCAAGGCGCCCTGCTCTACATGTTTTGGATATTTCTAAGCTTCAGCACACCTGATTCAGATGATTGCAGTTCAGCAAAGCCTGATAATCTGCTATCAACTGATAACAGGTGTGTGAAAGCTGGGAAACATCCAACAAACTAACAACATTCTCTTTTCTTGTGTTTTTGTTTTACGTAAAATACATCTAGACTGCTGAGGCTGTCAATAGTCACCGCGGCTACCTTCTGGTTTAGTGAGAAAGTGCTTGTTCAGCCAAAAATCCCTAATTCACAATGTTAGAGAATTTTTGAAAAAATCCTGTATCCAGATTATGATCTAGATCATCACCAAAATATAATGGATTGTTCCTTGGCATGAGTAACACCTCTGATGCTAATCCATTAACTAATCCATTGATCCATTAACTTTTCAATCCTGTATACGGACAGACAAACTCTCCCAAAAAAGTAACCTCCTTGGAGGAGATAATACACACACTTAATACTTATTCATTTATATTATGTATTAGAGATCAAGAAAGGGGGTCAGAAACACATTTCTTTCTTAAATTTTACACGGTAAAGAATTGTAAATTTCATCTGATCTCTCTATCTTTCTATCCAACCTAAGGGCCATTAAACCAATCACATTCACTGTGGCACGAAGCAACAGTTCCCAAAGAGATATATCCACACATCCACTGTGAGAGCATGCAAATTCCACTCCAATCGAGTGTTTAAAATATTCTGGCTGCAAGGCAACATTTAACCACTGCTGCCCCAAACCACCAGAGAGCAGAATTGTACTGAGGACATGAACAGCAGTGGGGCGATGATGTAGGATCATGAATGTATCAGGTTGAGTTTTCTAGGATCACTTCAAATCTGAGTAAGCAAGCATCTGAGCTGCTCTCTGGGAGATTAGATTTTATCCTACCTGATATCAATTTTGATTAACCAAATCATCACCATCCATTCAAGTTGTGTGAGTCTTTTACACTCCTGGAATCAGACACAAACACACACACAGGCTTTGAAATAATGTAGGCCATGGCAGCATGGGATTATCACAAAGGTAGTTCTAATTCAGATAGAATATTAGAGAGAGAAAATTCAGAGAATAAACACAGACCAGGATTAAACCTCAGTCAGCTTCTACTTTCTAATCAGCTATTCCCTCCCAATACTGTTATCTTCCTCATCTCTGTATTAATCTTTGTTGCAATAAGATCATGCAGATATTTTTTGGCCTGATTATAAAAAATGGTGGTTCTAATATCCACAATGTCATTGATATCCAAATGATATATAAACTCTTTTTTTAATCCAATTTCTCCACTAATCTCCATCTAATCAGGCTAAACTTTTTGGACTCAGTTTATAGATAAAGGTATAGTGGAGGATGTTCTTTTTCCGAGTGGATCATAAAATAGTGGTCTTCCAAATTGTCAATTATTCTGGTGATATGTTTACGTATAGCCGTCCTGCATGCTCATCCCCATTTTCACTTGCCGTCGGTGAGTCTGACATAATGTTGCAAATCAAAATTGCAAATCTTCTTTTGGAAAGTAAGCTTGTATGAGCTATGCAAACAGCAACTTTTAAACAAAGCGTGCATGAGGAGATATGCTCTAACGCGTGTTTAATAGCCGTTCCCTATTGGTAGCGGGCAAAGGGTTGTGCATGTGCATTTTTTTTTTAAGTGAAGAGGGCAGGTCATTTAAATTCACGAAAATCCTCCTCTATACCTTTAAGTGGGAACATTAACAGAATTTAAAATATTTATAGAATCACTGGTGCTGCATAAGCAATTAACTTGTGAAGCAATTACAAAGTTTTTACTTAATTATTTCCTTTGATCAGAGCTACTGAGGTTTCCAATCAGGAATTCATGATCTATTATTTCCCTGTTGTATTTATAACTAAAACTAATGTGTATCTATCTTAGCCAGTCCTCAAAGCAGAAAGACAATTGTTTGGCAGAATATTATTAATCCTCATAAGTAAAAAAAAAAAAAAAAAAAAAAAAAAAAAAAAAAAAAAAAAAGCAGTATGCTTAAACTTTACATCATCTGCCAGAGAAATCCTTCTAAAGTTTTCTAAAACTGGAACTGTGAAAAACAACCCTGGGTGATGACTCAAAAAACAACCTTCACAGTGACTTTAGCGCTAAGATTATAAACATTTTACATCCTCGCTGCTTGTTTACAAGGCCTGCCTCCATTTTTCTGTTATTGCAAGTTGGTACACAAGACTAATTGTTCAGTAATAGATGCTTCAGCTGGTTACAACGTACAAAAAAAAAAAGAAAAATTGAAAGTGAGGCAACATATATTCCAAGAATAGTATAGAAGATATGAAGACATGGCAATAGGAGCATAATTTGAACAGAACATCTGGTTTGTTTTACCTGAAAACTGATAATTATTTCGTCTTCCAGCTAAAAAAATTATCAACCTTGTTCCTCATGCTCCAGATTTCAGTATCCACTATAAAAAATATTTCACACAAGGTTTATAAAATTCCCAGTGACAGATTATGCTTCTATAACTAAATTTGATCTATTTTAAGACGTTTGCAAATATTTACCAGGGTTACCACATATTTTGAAGGGTGCTGTATATACCAATGACCAAATTTTGGATCTAACATTTAATTTTGCACATGATCTGAGCATTAAAAAAGGAGACATGGCTGGGATAATGCAGTCATATAAAGGCCTGACAGCAATCTGCAAGCAGATTAGAAAAAAGATATTAAAAAACTGGAAATCAGTATGAAGATGCTGAAACAGATGCAGCCACAGAGAAAGATGAAGATGAAGATTGTGTAACATCAGTGAAAAACATCTGGTGCAGATGAGATATGAGAAGAGAATAAAAGAGAGGTTAGATAGGAGGAGTGTTGCCTTAAAAGCGTTTAGTTCTCGGCTGGTGTATTTATAGCTGGCAGATGCTGGCAAGATTATTAGAGCTATGAACATGGTGGCTTTTTTTCTTACTCATTGTGTATCTAAGCAAGCCCTCCAATATACAAAATTTCAAATGAAAGAGCGTAAATTGTTAAAAGGAATTTGAGAATGAGAATTCTGTGAAAACGCTTTAAGAAAGGTTCAGGCAAGCTCAATCCTTCCATACCTGAATATCCACATTTGCTGCTCTCTAACTTTCAAACTAGTTTTAACACTTCAGAGAGTTGTCAGGAAAATGTACAAGAAATTGTCAAGTAAAACCATCTAAAAATACATATTCAGAGACATACTCCTGCAGGCCTATTAAAGGGTTAACATTTGCCATATTCTAAAGCTTATAATAGGTTGTAATCCTTTCAAAGTCACCATAGGCAAATACATCATTAAATGTTGCCTTTGGCTTCATGGAGTTTGTTCATTTGATATTACCGGTAAAAAAAAATTTTCTTCCAACCCAAATACTGAAGAGAATTGCCTACAATGAGAGGCCACCCCTCCTTTTGTGAGCGCCGTCCATTTCATGACATCACTCTACCATGTCACAGAAGTGGCCAAGCAATCTGCTGGAATCCTTGGTCTTCTTAACTTTATCTGC